GGCAGGAGGTCTGGCAGAGGAGGAAATGAAGAGGTCATGTGAAACACCGAATTAGGCAAATGAACAACTCAGTGACACTCAGGACAACACTTAGAAAAAAACTTTACAATGGGTCGTTGAAACAGAGGTCAAATCAAAGAAGCATCGATGATGCAACTCTTTCTCTCCCTCTCTCTTCTCTGTCTCACAGAGTGTCAGAATGGGTGACTGGGAGACCCATCCACAAAGCAGGGAGAAAGTGATCACTGGAATAGTCGGCCCTCTCTATGAAGGTATGGGTGGTGTCTCCATACTGAGAGGGAGAAAGGAATTGTGGGGGTTACAGCGTGCTGAAGAATCTGAGTTTAGTAAAAATGGTGTGTATTATGAAAAATAGGAAAGCTTAAAATTGTTAAGCAAGCGAGGGGAAGGCGAGCCCAAGCAAGTGTACTGCATGGATTGACAGACAGTGGAGGGTGCAGTGCAAATATTTGATTGCGAAAATAGTGGGGGAGTGGTGTCTTACTGTCTGGACTGTAGCCATGACGACAGAGCCATGTTCATCTTTCTCCTCCCAGGGCTCCTTCACTCCCTTTGCTCCGTTCTCCACTGCTCTCTGCAGTCAAATACAGTGGAACTCCTCTAATCCAGACACTAATAGGACAGTAGATAGTCTCCATGTCAGGAGGTGTCCTTATTTCAGGGGTTAAATTGCATGGAAGAATTGTAAGACAAGGTGTCCTCATTTCAGGGTGGTGTTGTAAGAGGAGGGCTCCACTCCATGTAACGCCTGTTTTGATTCAGTTTCTGGAGTAACCCACCCTGTAGAGAGCCCTGCAGTCTTCTACACTGAATGCAATGTCCTTTACTCCATCACCGTGAGCAGTGAGGTGGGCACCCATCTCCTCGTTCCCGGGGAACAGAGCCGACTGGAACACAAAGATCACCTGACAGAGAGGAGAGAGAGAGATGGAGCAGTGAAGAGGGGAAGTGCTTAGTCCTTGGCCTTCTTCATTGCACTGTTGTACCTTTGTACTCTCATTCACAATATTATATCAGAGTTGAAAATGTGTCGCGGCATTCACAGTAAATAAGACTTACATCATTCTGTCTGACGGCATGAGAGACTACCTTTCTCTCGCCGGTCTCCAAGCCTTTGTAGGCCATGGGTCTGAACCCCATGACGGCACAGTAGTAGTAGGCAGCCTGGAGGAAGAGAGACACAGAGGTTTGACCAACACACTGCCATGGTTATGTACTGACCTGCTTGGCATTCCCGACCCAGAAGGTGAGGTGGTCGAATGCAATGAAGCGTCCAATACCCACCGGCTGTGATGAAGAAGTTTTAATAAGGACAAACTACTTATTGCCGACAGATCAACTTACTTTTTCTCCTCTCTCGTGTGTCGTCTGCGGAAGAAAATCTAAGTCACGTGATGGTACACACCTCCAAAACACCTCCTACAACTTACCATCTTCTTACAGCGACAAGAATTCCGCTGCTAGAGATCGCGTACACCTACTTCACAGAGCCCGGTTCCAGCCACAGAATTGCAGACAATCGGCAAAGAGAGAGAAAACTCGCAAACAAAAGCAACGCTCACAGCTAGCTACACTGCTGAGACGGTCACATGCACAACGAACGACCTGATTGACCTATATACTCGCTACGCAACAGAGCGGCGCCGACCGGCTGCTGGTGAATTACGCAATCGTTGTGGCGCACGTGCAATACGTTGATATCACGTGTGCAGTAGAGAGTCGTAAAATGGCCGCTGTTTTCTACTTTGTTGGCGGTTCGTGATTCTCTATCGCCCGGCGAGACTGTTATGGTCCAGGTCTTTTTTGTGAAAGACAGCGATGAAAACGGGGCGACGTACGGACCCAGACGGGCCCCGCAGAGTCTCCAGGTAAGTCTGGAGCCGGGGAACGGGGAGCAGTGGGGTGGTCGCGTGCGCCTACCGTCGTCCCCTCTACCCCTCTTGAATCTAACTGCCTACTTGGACACTGCACGGCTTAGTTCGGTCGTGTAGTCTGACTTCTATACGGGGCGGTCTGGTACAGTAACTATAACCGTACTGCGACGTCTGTCGTAAGGCGCAATCTTTAATTAGCGCCCACTACGTCTTCTTTCTGCTTCTCTCTTCCTGTGCAGAGAGCGAGACGCTGCACTGGGGAGGGTCCGTAAGAGGCCCTCCATGTTATTGGAGTTTCAGGGGAAACACTACAACCACAGAGAACCCAGCAGAGATAGGTACATAATGTACTACTCTCAGTAGTCAATTGTGAGAGCAAAGTTATTGAGCTGTTTCCTACCTACCAAGAACTTTTTCCACCAACTTTTGTCCATTTTAATAAAACCTTGTGCAGAGAAATTCCACTTAACTTTAGAGCATTGGTAGCTAGCCAAAGTATTCCTCCCAGTTAATGCACTACATGTATTGCAATAGTCTGAATGTTGATATGTGGTGTTGGTACATACGTTGTGATTGGCTGGCTGCAGGTTTCATCACAGATACGACCAACACAACATGGGCTCTGGGATCAGGGGGGCCAAGAGAGAAAGGTTGGTATATATACAGTAACTGTGCCCATAATAGCCTTAGTGAGTGTCCTTTTTCTCTCCATCTATTTTTCTCCTCCACTGTTATCTCTCTCTCTCTCTCTCTCTCTCTTCCTTCTGCTAGGTTTGGACCTGCCTTCTTCAAGAGCGAGATGTCCGATTCGCGACCTTTCACCTCCACTCCCCCCTACCCTCGTACCCATCACTCCTCTCTCTCCTTGTCTGAGGAGACCCTAGCAATCGAAGTCAACAACACCAATGCCGGGGAGGGGGACGCCCCCACCAAACGACCTCGTCTCCTGAGAGACATGCAGCTGGACGGCCCGAGTGGTGCAGATTCTGTACCATTGGTGGGGTCTGTAGTGAGAGGTCATCCCAGTCCGCCACACCACTCCATCTCCAGTCCACCTCGTGTCAGTGCAACCAACACTGCCAGTGTATATAGCATGTCTCTAGAGTTTGGAGATGGATTAGGTTTCAATTGTAGCCGAATTAAAATCAATTCAATACCACACTACATTGTGACTAATCAGATGATGTTTGGGTCACACCAAAGGTCACTAAGCTGTTGTTGTGCTGCACTCTCTGAGTGCTCTTTATTTTCTCCCTCTCCAAAAGTTATGTTTCCTCCTTCATCTGACTCTCAGGGGCTGGGGCTGCGTGCCTACCTGGAAGACATTGACAGTGACGAGGAAGAAGATGAAGATGTCTTGACGGTGGATGAGGAGGAGAAGCCACCGCAGCCGCCTCACCCGTCCTACAAACCCTCCTCTCCTCCCACTTCCTCGGGGTCCCTCCCACTGACCAAGGAACAGCTCCTGTTGAGGATGGAGGCGGTTGACAGGGAGATTGCAGCCACAGAGGCCCAGATTGCCGCCCTGCAGAAGAGGCAGGCGGAATTGGAGGACACCATTTCCTCTCCTCCTTCCCCGCTCCATTCTTCCCCTCTCCCCTCGCCTGCCGAGAGGGAGGGACCAGAGGAAGAGGGCGTGTCTTCCCCCACTGCTACCCCGGCGGAGAGATGGGGTACTCCAAAACGCTCTATTCTGGAGTCGGTGTACTCCGAGAACAAGGTTAGGCGGTATTTTTGGCAAATGGGTATCTGGATGCCAGTTTCTGTTGGCCTGAGTTCAAGTGAGTCTCACCTGCAGGTGAAGGCTCGGACGGCTCATGCTGTGTTGTACCACATATCGCCTTCCCTGCCTTCCTCTATCACCAATACTGCTTCAGTGAGTCCTCCACTTCCCCTCTCTCCCTCCTTCCACTCCCTCTCCTCTCCTCTCTCTCCCTCCTTCCACTCCCTCTCCTCTCCTCTCTCTCTCTCTCTCCAGCCACTCTACGCTCAGCCGTGGGAAGCCCCTGGTTATTTCAACATAGTTGCCAGGTACACCAAACCTCTTGTTTGGGGTTTTAGAAAATGACATGCCTATTGGTTTGGTGTTTGTAGACATCGCCACTTTCGCTCTAAACTGGTTCAACTGATCGGAAGACAAAAGAGAGAGCGACACGAGAAGGTTGTTCACATTCCTCTCCCTCTCTTCCCTGCCTCACACATCTCCCATCTCCCCCCCCCCTGGCAGGACTTGCTGCTGTGTCAGACGTACGATGACCACCAGGAGGAGTGGAGGAAGAGACTGGACAAGATTGAGAACAGCTCCAAGAGAAAGTAACAGACTCCATTTGCCACCGACAGAAACCACGACCAACTCTGCCTCTTTCTCTCTCTCTTCTCTTCAGAGCAAGAGACTCGAAGAACAGAGAGCTGTTTGAGAGAACGTTCCCGGAGCTGAAGGTCCGCAGAGAGCAGCAAGAGAGACTGATGAGGTGAGTACACACCCCCTTCTTCCTTAACCCCCCTCTCTCATGCCGTGCTACTCCTCTCCCCTCGCTGCCTGCGTGTGTCTAGAGTTGACCAGCGTGGGTTCGGAGTTGTTCGCTCTGACCTGGAGTTGAGTCAGGTCATGTGCGAGTTGTTTGAACAGGAAGAGGCCCCGGCTCGTAGTCGCCGGACCCACGCCCTCATCCCTGCGATGGTGCTCGGAGGACCAGAGGAGAGACTGGCCTTCTATAGTACCAATGGTCTCATACAAGACCCCATGGCAGTCTACCGCGCATCCAAAATCACCAACGTCTGGGCCGACGGGGAGAAAACCATTTTCCGTGAAAAGTAAACACAAAATTTCACAACATCCAAAACTCACGTGTTGTTTGTCAGGTATGCGTTGTACCCAAAGAATTTCGAGGCGATTTCGTCCTTCCTGCCCAGCAAGACCACTGCAGACTGTGTGAGGTACTACTATCTCTCCAAGAAGAACGAGGTGTTCAAACAGGTCATCCGGAAGGCGTCCTTCAAACGGAGAAAGTTCATCAAACCTGGCGTAAGCATTCATACCAGTTGATACTACTAGAAAAGTATGCAAGTGTGTAATTCTGTACACTATTTTTTTGCTCTCTGCAGGATCTGACTGTGATGGTCCCTCACACTCCATCCAGACTCTCAGTTGACACCAAAATGAGGTCGCCCCTACTCTCAGAGGTCATGATGACTCCCCGGACTCCGTCCACTACAGCCACGCCCACTGCAACCACACCCACCACACCCAGACCTGAAGAAGTCGCCAAGGAAGAGCCGCTCACCCCAAAACCTTCACGTGAGTTTATTCGCTACTCTGCCGTCTCTTTTTCAACCAATTTCTACCTCCAGGCTACGGTGACTGGACAGAGGAAGACATTGGCAACCTGCGAGGAGGGCTGAGGAAGTGGGGACGAGCCTGGGGCATGATCTACCACGAAGTGGGCGGGAGGAAGACTGCCACGCAGTGCAAGAAGTTCTTTGACAATTTCTGTCAGGACCAGAGCCTGGGGTTGAGTCAGGCTCTGAGCGAACGCAGCTCCATTCAGGTGAGTAATGCACCACTGCCCCCCATAGACCTCAGTCAGGTTTATATTATACTCAAATGGAAGAAGTTTACTAGCCAATCAGTTGCAGGAGTAGAGAAGGTGAATGTGATGTAATGTCTGTTTGTGCAGAATGCGGAGAAGGCCCAGAGGAAGGCGGCAAGTCGTAAGCCAGCCCCTCCCCCCACACCTCTGTCCCGGAAGAGAGGTGGGAAGACAAAGACAGTGTCGGCTGGTCTTCAGCTGCAGCCGGAGAGCGAAGGGGAGAGGCTGGGGGAGGGGAGGGACGGGAGAGAGTGAGGCCATGGAGAGTGCGTCAGCTGCTGAGACCGGATCAGCAGAGGAGTCTGGCAGCGAGAGCACTCTCACTGATTCCAGTCCAGAGGACGGCGGAACTGTCTCCGCCCACTCCTCACTGCCCCGCCCGTGGAAGAGACGTGCCTCCTCGTCAGCAAGCCCCTCCCACTCCAACCAGACTGGCTCCGACAAAGGAGCATTCGATATCTTCATCTCTGCAGCTGAGGCTCTCAACAACATTGTGCCTCCAGAGATCGCTCTACACGATCACAACTATGCCCTGGCTCCTCTGAACAGCGTGGACTTGCAGGGAACTTCAGGTCTCTCTCTCATTGCAGCTGCCGCAGCTGTCGTATCCCCAACACTCTCACGCAGTGCCGGGTCCGGGAAATTCCCCGCCGTTTCCCCCGTACGAGCCCCCCGGGGTCGCCCCCCTAATACCCAGCGACGAGGAAGTGGGGGGTCCAGCTGTAAGCTGTCCCCCGCCTTCCTCAGCCCAGCCGGCTCCAGCATCTATGTTCCCCTCACGGACACTACGAAGTCATCGTTCCGCAGCCGAGCCCGCTCTGCTCCGTCTGATCGTCCGAGGCTCCAGCTAAGAGCGGGACCTTCGAACCTGCGCTACTCTATATCCAGCAAGTCAGGCAATCCGAGACCCATCCTCCCCCCTGCCTCTTACACTCGTGGCAAGGACTCACCTGGAGCTGGGCAAGGGGGGTCTCCTTCGTTAAAGTCGATGATTGCATCTCGTCCGCAGCATGGAAACCCCAGCAATGCCGCGTTCGAGACGCTGGTTAATGTTGCCGTGGCAGCCTCGCCTGCTGAGCTCCCAAAGACCACACCCACTCAGCAACCGACAGCTACGCTCTCCATCTCGTTCCAGAATGCCTCGTTGAGCTCTGCACCGTCGACCCCGGCATCCGAGGGGACTTACAGCATCGATATGAATCAGGCAATGATCAACATTCTCTCCCTGGCTCAGCTCACCCAGGGCCCCGCCTCCTCTTCATCGGCGACAACGGGGAAAACGACACAGCAGCTGTTGCTAACCCCTGGAATTGGGTCGCAGGCCTCTGGTTTCCTTGGAACAATCGTCAGCCAGAGCAATCACAACAGTGCCACGGGAGCGGGGAAATCCCCTAGTCCCAGCACAGTCAATGTTCTGATTGGTCACCTCACCTCCGGTGCGGCTTCCCCAAGCCCCAGCACGGGGTCAGAGTCCTCGACCAGCTCTCGGGGTTCCCCCGCTGTACCCCCAGACCCCAAACCTCTCCAGAGACCTCTGTCTGGGAAGACTTCGTCCTCCTCCAAACCCCCAACTACCGTCGGGCAATCCTCCAACGAAGACCTCTCGAACCTCAACCTCCTATCATCACTTGTGGCCGTTGTCGCCGGTTCCCAGACCACACCCCCTCACTCGTCTCACCCCCAGCACACGTCCACCACGAGCACAAGATCCAATGCCCCTAATTACTCATTCGCCAAGACCCCCGCCCCAAATTTCTCTCCCCTCACCGTCTCATCAGTCTCCACCCCAAAGTCCTCTCCATTCAAAGCCACAAACCTTCCCGTAGCCAGTAGCTCCTCAGCCAAACAGAAAGAAAACTGCACACGGACAAAAATCCAAGAAAAGTCCTCACCGAACCTTTCTTCCCTCATGAACAGTGATCACAACCCGCGCTCTTCCTCTCTTCGTGGCACAGCTGCCAACAGCTCGCCCCTTGACAACCTTGCTCGTTCCGTCGTCCGCTCTTCCTCGCTCACCCACCCCCAGTCGTCACTAACAACAACAAACTCCTCACACTCACACCCTACCCTCCCCACCGTCCCCTCCCCCAGCCCCTCAATCAGTCAGCAATCTACTCTCCTCCTCTACACACGGTCTCTCAGTCTACCCAACTCCTCTGCAGTTGACCCCAGCTCTGAGGAAGAAGATCATCTGGAGAGTGCCACGCGAGGCATCAGCGAACTCTCGAAACTTCTGGGGACTGACACTGAGCCCCTCGGCTCCAGTGACAGCACCACGACCTCGTACCGAAACTCCTGGGCCGACCAGCCCCTCCCCACTGCGTCCCTACATACTTCGCGAACGCCGCGGGGCTCCAGCAAGGCAGAGTTGGGAAACGATTCGAGCAAGTACCTATCGGGTCTACTGGAATCTCACTCAAGCCACACCCACCACCCACAGAAAACCGGGAGCACTAATACGGACGTCAATAGCTCACACAACTTGTCAAGATAGCACAGATGATGATATCAATCGTTTTCTCTCTCCTTTCTCCTTTCCCGCCACCGTCACCCCTTCACTGTTGACGCCATACGTCCCACATACAGTCCCATCATTCAGTCCCTCCCTCCAATGTACATTATGTTTGTACTATTGTCTTATCACGCAATAATAATGACCGAGACGATCTACTCAACATTGCAAACGGCGGTTCTTATGATTTCTTTGCCGTCCATTGGGCTGGAGTAAGAGTCTTCTGGCTGAAGGCGTGCAGCTGCGCTATCTCGTCTGCTAGCGCCTCGTTCACCAGCCTGTGTCTCTGCAGCAGTCCCTTGCCCTCGAAGAGAGGAGAAACAATCACCACCTCCAGCTTCTGTCCGCAGTTGCGCCCGCACGTCGTGTCCACCACCTCCTGTACGTAGCACAGCTCTCTACTAAGCGAGCCCTGCTTTGCAGTGTATGGTTGGTTATACGCCTCACCACGTGTACTGCCTCCAGTTTCTCTGTTATCTTTCGCTTCACAAACTCCGTAGACAGCGCCATGTTGACTCAGCGAGTTTACTTTGCGCATGCCCACAATTATCGGCGACTCATGAGTTTCGACCCTCCGCTCCATTGACGACAGTCACGGCGCAAGGGACTAGGGACATTACTAGGTGAGTTTCTGTGTTGTATCCCACATGAATAGTAGACACTTAGCTTAGAAAGTTAGAAGTATGTGTGATAACCTACGATAATTGGTCCCGCCGGGGCTCCGGTTCCGCGGTTGCAGTAGTTGCAGTCTAAAAGTTGCGGCGGCCAATTTTTTAATTCATCTTGCAACCACATAGCAGATCTACCCCGCGAGAATTACTACCATTTGTCTTTCACACGTCTAGTCTGGCGTGATCGTTTAGCTCTGAGGATTTGTAGCTATACTTGGGGTTTGTAAGGCGACATATTTAGCAAGTGTCACAGACTCAGCACTTCCATATACTGTTGCTAGCGAGGCAGTGTAATACTCACTACTCGCATACTGCTGACTAGTCAGAAACAAACTGAATGCTCTTTCCTTTACTTATAAGGCAATGTTTATTTGCTGTTTGTCATTCCAATCTGTGGCATACTGAATAGCTGTGTCAATTCTTCGCCATCTGCAGTTCCTGTTTCGTTCATTGTGGGATCACCAACTCAATAATCACCACCTGCAAGGTATACCCACTGGCAAGAGATGTTGGGCTCTGGGGAAGAAGATAGACCCAGTGACATTTGGGAGTTTCCTCTACTCCCCTCTGGGGCTGGCCACAGTTGCAGTACTGGTGGCTGTGGTTGTCTCTGCTGTTTGGCTGGTCGGGGGTCTGACGTATTGCCTCTGGAGACACTGTCAGAGAAGACACACAGCTGGAGCAGTGCCCAGTACCGATGTCTGCTTCCTCTCGTCCCCAGCTGATGATAGAGCTCTCACTAGAGATACTGCACACTTTTCCTACTCCATAAACTCTCTGGCAGTGGAGTCAGCTTTCCACCACACCTCTCTAGAGTCAATACTCAGTAGAGATATGGACAAGATGGAGGAACATCATGATCAACCCTGAATACCAGATCCTGTTTTAAACGTGCGCATGCGCGCCGCTACACGATTTCGCGCGGCGTCCGAGAGCCCCACCCACAAGTTGGTCAGGTGCTGCTCTGCTTTTTTGGTAGCCCAGATCATGGGTAGCTTCTCGGTGACTTTGCTGCTCCTCTGCTCGCTCGGCAGCGGGCTCCCTCGCCCAGCGAGTGCCGCACTTCCTGACGAACGGCCAGAACGGAGGCGTGTCCTGCGCGGCCTGCACCATCCTCACTGGTCTGGTGGAACAACTCGCGGAGATCTACAACATTTCCATCGACGATGCCCTCTCCAAGTACTGCGGCTTTCTCCCGTCGGGGTTTCAGGGAGCCTGCACGGCGCTCGTGGACGTGTACGGTCCCATCGTGATCAACCTGCTGGAGAAAAAGGAGACCCCGGACGTGGTTTGTCTGACCCTCGGCATCTGCACCAACGAGACGGGTCACGTGTGCCGCCTCTTCCCGCTACCATCCCGCCACCGCGGAGCCATCTCCGAGGCCGAGGAGCTGCGACAGAGAGTGGCGGCAGCGAAACAAAGGGTACATCATCTGCGGAGAGACTACGCGGCTCTTCTCCCAGATATCTGCAAAATTCCCGTGATCAAGCCGATATGCGATCTCCTCGACAGGTTCGGCAACGATCACTTGCCTGTGGACGACGTAGACGGAGACTATTTCTCGGACTTGCAGACGTTCCGCGGGACGTCGTGGAGAGGCAAGGACTGCAATGACTTTGACGCCGACGTACACCCTGGACGTAGGACGGTGGACGACGCTGTTTTCGATACGAACTGTAACGGAATCTTCGGCGTGGACGGCGACACTGGAGAGACGTACGAAAAGAAGTGGTGCGAGGGAACGGGACAAATGGGGACAGTTCTATTGGGCGATAGTGCAGGGGCACATTTCCATATCCCCCCGGCCTGGTTTACTAGCAGTGAGCTCAGCGAAGAGGCTTTCAAAGATCTCTTTTTCATCTTGGAAAACGAGTTTGACTGGCCGATGCTGTCCAGCTCCACAGGCTACAAGAACTCGACATGGCCTGATATTAGTGGTCCAGTTGATTCCACCTACCTTCGTCTGCGAGAGTTCAACCGTTGCAACCACAGAGACTACCAGAACATTGGAGTCAATGGAGCTCGAGCCAGTGCTATGGCAGACACAATCGTCAAGAGCTTGGCTCGCGACGGACTCAAAGACAACCCAGTGTTCCTCATGTTAGCTCTCATTGGCAACGACGTCTGCAACGGGCACCACGACTCCTCCCACATGACCACACCCACAGAGTTCTACCAAAAAAACCTGGAGACGTTTCGCTACGTGGACTCCAAGGTTGCCCCTGGCTCCGTTCTACTTGCCACGGGGCTCGTGGACGGCAGGATTCTTTACGACACCCTCCACAACCGAACCCACCCCCTGGGTTCCCTCCATAATGATGTCACCTACTCTACAGTATATGACTACCTGAACTGTCTCGATGTATCTCCCTGCTTTGGTTGGCTCAACAGCAACAAGACATGGAGGGACTACACCACTGAGCGAGCTCTTCAACTCAACAAGGCCCTCAAAGAATTAGTCGCCAACGAAACTTTCAAGAATTTCAAGGCTTACTATTTCGATCCTACAGTCCCACAGGTGTTTGAGTATTGGGAGGAGCATGGTGGGGAGGCGTGGCAACTGATTGAGCCCGTGGACGGGTTCCACCCCAACCAGATTTCTAATGAACTCAACACAAAGATCTCCTGGGAGCTCTATCGTAACTATACCCCTGAGGTGATCCCTCCAATTAACCCTTATAATGAACTCATCGCACAGAAATTTGGGGACCAAGGAGGCTACTGATAATAGATAGTGTGTGCACTGTAAACGTATATTTGAGAGAAAAATATTTTCAGTTTTAAAAGTAAACTAGCCCTTCTGTTGAGCCATCTTTGTCTTTTCTTTCGTCATGTGACTCATCACTGCATCTCCCATCTCTGTCACTCCCGTTTCCTTCCCTTTCCACCAGCAAAGTTCCATCTTCTCCCTCCCTCTCTGTCTCGATCTCCCACAGACTCTGCCCTTGTATCTCGTCGTCGTATTCCGTCTCTCGAGTGGTGTAGGTGCTCTCAACCTCAGAGGACACCAAATAGACTAGAGACTCTGCAGTCTCTCGAGAATATATCGTATCATCCGCCGGAGAGACAGGGTTACTGGATCTTCTGGCGGGGAAGAGACCGGGCTGGAAAAAGTTATGGGGGACAAAGTGGAGAAAGACTTGTCCGTTGTCGCTGACATAGCCAGGGGTGAATTCGTCCCTGGAGGTCTTGAGGACAATGTGTCTGTTTGGTGCAGAGCTGAGGTTCTTGAGCTCACTGCAGATGAGTGGGAAGGTGGGTCTGTCTGTTGGCATTGCCTGCCAGCACCTCTGCAGTAGGAAATAGCTGGAGAGAATGGTTGGGGAGGATTGCTAAGGTAAAGCTTTCAGTTGTGAAAGAAAGAAAAAAAACAACGAGATTTAGTACCACTTACAGCTCGCTGCTGAAGCTGCTGAGAATGCGGGGCCTCTGCCTGTGTATCACAATGTGGTCATATAGATCTCTCGGTGGAACTCCGGGGTAAGGGTTCGTCTCCAGGGTAACAACCTTATACAACATGATTCCAAATGACCAACTGCAGGTGGTGAAGAGAGAGATATATTCTTTCCACTTGGCTCTGTTTGTGAATGTTTACTCACACATCACTGAAGAGAGAAAATCTCTTTTCCCAGAGGCATTCGGGGGCCATGTCATGCAGGAAATGCTCTCTCTCCGTCACAAGATAGTAGTAACCTTCGTGGAACATGCCTGGGTTGGCGATCTTCACCTGCAACTGAGGTCCAACCACGACGTTCCTGGTAGAGAGATCCCGGTGGACAAATCCATGGGAGGCCAAGAAACACTGAGGAATAAAGAGAAGGGAGAGGGAGGGGGGAGTAATGGGAGATGGGGGATTTATGGTGGATTTCTATAGTCAAACAGATTCACTCTACATAGGATTCTGGAAGGAAGCACAGAATTTTGCGACTGTACCAACCATTCCATCAGCGACTTGCAGAGATATTCTCATGAGGTCATAGGCCACATGTCTGTGGTAGGAGAGGTCCTGGAGGGCCTCCCTGACGTGCTTCAGGTACCACTGGGGCACCGGTCCCTTCTTCAGAGACCAGAGGAATCTGTCCAGGGTCCCGTGGGGAGCAAACTCCAGTAGAAGACACGGAGAACCTGGACCTGAACTCACTCCCATCAGTGACACGACGTTTGGGTGTGTACCAGCCTGTGAGGCAGAATAATTACACCAGTGGGGAGAGCTGGTAGCAACTACCATCATTTCTTCCTTGCCTTGTCTCGTATTGATCGGAGTATGAATGTCTCAACATTGAGCTCCTCTTTTCCTAGCTCAGAGCTGTTATCTGAATAAAGACAAATAAGACAGAGAGAGAAAGACAGCCACTTTCAAGTTGGCTCTACATTCAGAAGTCGGTCAACAAGTACCTTGTTTTCTAGCGTACCTTTCAATCTTTTGACTGCCACCTCTTGTCCTATTGGTGGGCAGTTGATAATGGCTCGATGGACTGTCTTGAAAGCCCCTCTGTGCAACAACTCTTGAAATACTATACGGCTGAAGGGTACTCCTGCAGTGTCTGTTGAGAAAACAAAAAGTGACACAGACCCTGCAGAGTTAGGTAATGGACTGACTTGAGTTGTCAGCATCTTCTTCAATTTCCACTAGTTCCTTCAAAGGAATCATCTTGTGATCATCACCAGAACTCTGCGGTGGTTTTCTCCGACAGACACACACAGTGGCAGTCAGAGCGCAGAGCAGCAGTACAAAGACAGCCAGGGTATTAGCTCCTACCAGCCCCACCTCCCAGACCTCCAGACCCAGGAAGAAACTGTCTGGAACAGAGTCACTACTGGTAGGAGATGGCTCCACCGAGGGGAGCAGGCTAACAGTAGAGGCAGCCACTGAATAGAAGAAAGACAATATGAATGAATTTGCCATGATGCTTGAAAAGTTATGGAACAAGATTTGGCTGAAGCTAGTATTGAAAGAAGAAAGCAGAGATTTGTAGCTAAATCCGGTTATAATATTATTCTCACTTATTGTTGTGTTGTCAACAGAGAGAAGCCTGAGCAATTTGTGAGGTGAGCTAGCTATTTTTGCAGGTTCGGGCGGACCCACTGCATTCTGTTGTTGTTTACGCTGGGCCAGGTGATGGGGCGTGTGCTATAATTATGCAGCATCATTCATTGATCATGCAAAGAAGTTTAACAATTACACGCATGCGCATTCCAGGGAGGATTTCCCATGGGGTGTGGTCGAGAATTGTTCGACCCGCGATTCACACAGTGACTGTCACTCACCGTCATCGTCATGTAGCGTTGATCTCTGTTTTCCTCGTGAGCAGTCAGAACAGTGGAGAAGACATGGACGTATTCGGCTGCGGCGGAGTTGGGCTCCGCTCGAGGCAGAATCCGAAAAGGAAACGGTTCAGGGAAGGACCGGACGAGTAAGCTCCTAATGAAACCGGAACTGATAAGACGGTCGCTAGGTCCAAGATTAACATTTCACAGTCAACGAGTGTATTATAGTCTTCAACCTCGATGTTGTCTCCCTCTCTCTGCCCGCTAGGTGTGTCTCTGCCAAGCGACCTCTGACAGAGGAAACAATGGCTGCGTTCATGCACCAGCTGAACCTCAGCACGTCGTGTCCCACAGCTCTGCTCCCTCGCCGCTGAGCGTGGCAGGTCCTCTCAATATTACAGCTGTCACCACCTGCCCCTCGACTAATGCCTGCTGCCCTGACGAGCTCAGAACGAGAGGAGTTTCCTCGTCACAGGTCTCTCCCAGCCACGAGGAGAGGTACTTCTTAGTTTACCAGGCTCCTTAGCAACACTCCAGTCTTGATTTGAGAAGTTCCAGCTTTCCTTTTCAGATGTTTGTGCCTGTAACTCGCTTATGCAGTGTCCTCTAACAATGATTCAGCTATATTTTACATAAGAGTTCTTTTCACTCCCTCCCATCTCCCTCTAGTCCACTTCCCCACCATGCCAGAGTCCTCACTCCTCCGGCTAGTTTTGAGACCTCCACCAGACCCGGCAGACAGCAGCCGCGTGGCTCCCCACTCACTGAGGGTCTGGACCTTGCGTCTCCTGCCTCTCAACACCCAGTTCATATCAGGTAATTATGTTGGTTCTCTCTCTCTCCCTTATAGCTAAATGTGCAATGATTCTGCGTCATATTATTCCATGCTCCATGCAAACCTGTGGGAGTAGATAAACAAGCACCATGTCTGCGAAATGCATAAATTTGTCCATATATGTCTCCATTCTTCTGTGAAAATACACCCTCTTGGCAGCTCTGCACTCTCTCTCTCCTCTCTATATACTCATCTGGTGGCTTGTTTAATGCAGTGTCACCCCTGCCACGCCCCCCTCCTCTGAGTCCAGTGGATCGCTGAGTCAGGAAGACTGTGAGCCGATGGAGCAGAGTTCGCTCCTCCCGCGGTGGGTGGGGCAGCGGAGGGGCGTGGTCCAAGAGGACCTCTCCTCCGACAGCAGTGACAGCGAGATGTGAGCTGTCACAGAGCACCTGAGCTCTCACCTTTGACCCCTGCAAGGCACACACCATTCACCTCCTCTCTCTCCCTTCCTCTCTCCTCTTCCTTTCTCCATTATTGCTCCCGCCTCGTTTCTATATCTTCCCCTTCCACTCTATATTCCCCAGGTCTCCTAGGGTGTGGATAGCTCCTGAGCTAAAATCCCTGGCTGCCAGTCAGAGACGTATGCTCTCAGCACCTGTCCTCGATGAGATGTGAGCAGAGTTCCTGGAAACAGACATCTATTGACTGGTCTGTCTGTGTGTATGTGTGTGTCAGAGCAAAGGTGGAGTTGGCAGTGGTTCCCTGGGTCAGCAGAGAGCAGTGTCTTGCCAGAGTTCTTGCAAAGTCTTGGGTAAGAACGATGAGTTTGTAATTTAAAGGAGTTGAGGATTATCACAGCAAAACCTTGATTTTTACTTATACTATAATATAGCCCACAAATTCTGTCTTTTGTAATACGACTCCCAACCTTTAAGATTGTGGAAGTCATACTTGATCTGTAGGTGATTTATAGTGAGACTTGTGTGTTATGCTGCAGGAAGCTGGCGCATCTAGCAGTGAAGAGGGGGAGGAGGAGGAGGGGAGAGGGAGGAAGGATTGGGACAGCTCAATGTTCTCTGACTGAAACGTCATTCTCACAACTCATGTTCACCTCTCACCTGCTGCTTATAGATAATCCCTCTCAGCTGAAGAACATTATCTTCTTCAATCCTCTGTGGATTTCTGTATAATATAACGTGTTCGACAGGCAGCTGGCTGGGCGCTGTTTCAGACCAGTGATAACTTTCTGGCCAAAATCTCAAAAATACAACTAAAATTACATTATGCACGTACAGTAAAAGCAGTGTGTACAGCGGTAGAGGTGGAGCAAGAGAATGTACAAGAGTCACATGACTAGTCACGTGACTGCCAAGACTGAGTCCTATTCCAGTCCGTAGTATTTGAGGCTCCGATCCATTCCACACGACACCAAAAAAGAGGCGTTCTTCCCGAACCTGACTCCAGTGGCCAGTCCTGCGTGGTCTGTGAGTGGACAGAGTCAGAGATAATAACACGACAGACACCGACAGGAAGAAATGATCATGTGAGAGTTGATAATCGTGCAAAAAAGTGTTTGTGAACGCATTGGTCATCATGGGTGACACTAAAACTGAGGCTTCTGCACAAAAATAGTTTAAACATGTTCATGTGCCAACAGTTACGAGGCGCACTAGACAGCAGTGTGTGTACCTGTGAATGTCTGCAGCAGGTACCACTGTTTGCAGAGGTACACTCTGTCGTGTGGACCGAACGGAGCGACGGTGTTGGCGGTGGTGGTGGGGACGGGAAGAGGAGGGAGGATAAAGAGGGCAACGTCAAATCCAATAACCAAGTAAAGTGAGGACTAACTGAATATTGGAGCCAGCCACAGCCAGATAGGTCCCTGTCTGGTCAAAGCATAGAGACATCACCTGCAGAAAGAAGAGAGGAAAACAAAGAGATGTGGTATTAACTATTGTGATGTAAGATTATCCAACTTACCTCAGAACCCTCCTCCAGATTGATTGACTTGAAGTTTTTGAGTTTGCGGAGATCCCACAGTTTGACGACTGAGTCGTTGGCCGAGGTGGCGAGGTAGTAGCTGGAGAGGGGGGAGTTAGGAGAAGGAGCTGAAAAGGAGAAGTGGGTAGGACTCACCCATTCTCAGAGAAAGCCACACTTGTTATGGGTCCAGAGTGCCCAGGGAAATTGGCGACATTTGTCTTCTCTTTCAGATCCCAAATCTTCACCACACTACATACAGACAGTACAGGTATATGATAACACTAGGAGGGGAGGAGGGGGGGAGGCCGACCTATCCTTTGTTCCAGTGCCAAAGATGAGGCCATCGGGATGAAACTGGGCACATGTGAGAGCTGCGGAGGAAGAGGAAGAGCTGACAAGGGAGGGCAGGGAAGACGATGGCTCACCAGAAGAGGCAGCAGGGTCGTTGGCTTTGCTGATGACCTGCCCTGTCCTGATATCAGAGAAGGCCCAGTACTGTGTGTTCATACATACAGTGGAGAAGAGAAGAGAGAAAGTGTACAATGTAAGAGAGAGAGTGTGTGGTGGTGTTGAACTGACCTCATCAGTGGAGGAGCTGAGGACATAGTCTCCAGTGGCATGGAAGACTGACACCAGTCACTGGACCATCATGAGCCTGTCCAGTACATATAGTAGTGTGTGTGGGCGCGTGTGGTGAAAGAGAGTTGGAGGATCAAGGAAAAGCTGACCTTTATGACTGTACTGCAGGATCCGTTGTGTACGGACCAGACTCTTACAGTAGCATCAGGAGATGCCGTGATTGCCACATCCTGAATAGAGAGAGAGAGAGAGAGAAGTTGACTCACTGTGTGTGTGTGTGTGTGTGTGTGTGTGAGCGAGCACCTCTTTGTTGTGGTGGACGACGCTAGTGACTTTCTTGGTGTGTCCTCTGAGAGTGGCCACCACTTGCTCCGTGGTGTGCTCAAAGACGACAGCAGTCTTATCGGCTCCTCCGGTGAGGGCTCGAGACGTGTCTCCCGATACGTCTAGACACAGGATTCCTGGTACACTGGCACTGTGCAGCTGGCAGGGGGGGAGAGAGGAGGGGGAGGAGAGAGAGGAAGGGGAGGAGAGAGGAAGAGTAGGGTTTGGTGGGAAATGTTTGAGTAAGAAAACATGTTTTTTTAGTACAAAACACGAATTACAAGAAAAAAAAGTAAGAGAAATTGTGTTAAGGTAATGCACACCGGATGTGAGGAGGTCTGAGTGAACTTGCTGATGTTGTCAGACGACATAAGGCCCTCCGGCATCTTCTTCCCTCTCTACACATCAGAAGACAGTGGTGTAAGTGTCCAGGAACGAAACTAGAAATGACAGGCTGACCTTCTTTCTCTCGGAGGTGAGCTGAGTTGCCGTATCCATCAGCTGTAGGGAAAGATATGACATCATCATTACATCATTCTAATTCCTCCACAAACCTTCTGAAGGATTTCCTCTGTCATTTCACACACACTCACACAATCACATTCACGAGCACCTCAAATCAGCGAACCCTGTCTGTAGGGAGCAACAGCACCAACAACTGAGTCTGTGACATTCTACAGATCATGTAGAGTGCACATGGACAACACAAGGCCTCCACCTCCATGGTTTCCGCGGGAGGACCGGGGGGCGGGGCTTCGCTGGGAGTACCATAGTTGCTGCCACGTGTGGCTTCAGAGTTGCCAGAGCTGAGAAGCAGTGAGGATTGTGCAGATGGAAGAGAGAAAGAGAGAAGAGTGAGAAATTGTTAGGCCTGGGTCACAACACGTCACTGGAGCCTTCAAATTGACTCACAACATTGGCATTGTGTCTTGCTAAGGGCTAGGCTACATTGAGGTACTGTGTAGCAAGGTAGGTTCCTAACCTTCTCTGGCTGCAGTCACCTCTTTAGTCAGTCTGGCAATGACTCGACAAGCTGCGTCGTGCTGGTAGAGAGCATGGGACAACTCTGTTAGGGAAGGAAAACAGAGGAAGAGAGAGTCCTCAGATAACAACCCTCGTAGAGAGCTGATTTAGTAATTCAGCATGGCAATGGCAAGTCTTAAAATTAGCAGTGTAGCTAAAGTTCTCCCTCACCCTGTCTGGCAGTCTGTAGCTGCTGTCTCAGAGTATAACTGTGCAGCATACACGCATCCTGCAAGAGAGAGAATAACTAGTCACCCGAGCACCACCTGACTGTCATGTGACACTAGGACACACCCACTCGTCCTGCAGCAGTTTGAGAATTGCTGGAATACTGGTTGCAGACGGTGGGCGTGGCTTTACAAGTGGATCAGCTGAGGGTCAAAGGTCAAAACACGATCATTCACACCTAAAATTCTCAATAGCTTACCATTTATGGTCATTAGCTGTTCGACTGACAGCGGCTCTCCACTCACTGGGTCAGTTCCGTTGTCCTGTACCCATTTTGTGACGAGTCTTCGCTCGAACACGCGGCCAGACACGGGGGAGAGTACCGGCTCCTCTGGTACCTCGTGACAGACTGCGCCCCGCGAGAAGGAGAGAGAGGAGAGTCCTTTATAAGGGACTGGGGTTTGGGGAGAGAAACTCACTCGAGCAGATGAGCGCCATTTCTTTACCACGCACACCACGCACGCGTGCGCATGCGCGAATAAAATATCACGTGAGGTATTAACCCCGCCCCTTCTTCTGCCGCCGAGCTCTCTCTAGAGCCAGAGAGTAGCTAAAGCAGTGAAACCATGTTGTCTCGGATGGTGAAGGAGCACCAGGAGAGGCAGTCTACTCTGAGAGAGGAGCAGGAGCGGAAGAGGAAGGCCGCACTGGCCGCCGTACAAAAGTGTACGCACGCCATGGTAGACTCGCTCAACAGCGGCGTGGAAAAGGCCTACGAGAACCAGCGGAAGCTGGACAGAGAGGCCAAGGCGCTGCAGGCTAACTCTGCCCGCTACGTGAAGCAGACGGGGCAGTGGCTGGCTCTGGTGGAGGGCTTCAACAAGAGCTTGAAGGGCCTGGGGGACTTGGAACAATGGGCCAAGACCATAGAGACCGACATGAGGATGGTGGTTGACACGCTGGACTTCGCCTACAAGGGATCAGGAGAGGTCCACGTCTTTCAAGAACACTCAGACACTCCCCCAACCTCTGAACACCATCACTAACCACTAGCACTGTATAATCACATCAGAATGCTCTTTTTCACATGTTCTTTTTTGTGTGTAAATCACGTCAGAGTGACATTACAAGTGGATCGGGTTGCTATATACTAGACAAATGCAGTGGTCCGCTTATGACTTGGGCGTGGCCTCCTTTAGTCGCTGCAAGTCTTGCTGCAGTCTCTCATCTCCTGGCACCAGCCTCACTGCCTCCTCGTAGTCCTGAACTGCCAGGTCCAGTTCACCACTCTTTGCATATGCCGAACCCCTCCTAGCAAAGACCTTGGCCCGAGATTGTTGGTTCGAGGGCACCACTGGATAGTAGAGCTCTAGGGCCCTGCAGCAGTCACTGACGCAGTGCTCAAAGTCATCAGTCGCAAGATGACACGCGGCTCTATTTGAGAACAGTTGGGGGAGTGCTGGGTTGAGGGAAATTGCCTCCGAGAAGACGTTCACGGCTGCCTCGTAGTTTTTAGCTCTGAAGAACTGGACTCCGCGATCTTTGAGAAATTCCGGGTTTCTCTCGTTGATGTCTCCCTCGTCTTCACCACTGCGGGGTTGAGTAATCCGTCGAGCTGCGGCCTGCTTGGCCAGCCATTCCTGCTCCTCTACCAATTTAGACTCCCTCGCAGCCGTGGGGAACACTCGCGGGGTAAACTGTACCACGATGTTACCTCCCTCACGAGGTGGGGGAGGAGCTTTCTTCTCCGGAGTACTAACTCCATTCTCGTCACCTTTATCCCAAATCGCAGTCGATGACGAAACCTTTGCTGTCTTTTTCAAACGATTTTGACTCTTCCCCTTCTCTTTCGCAATCTTCGCAACCTCGGCCTTTTCCTTTTCTCTCTGTGCTTTCTTCTCTTCCTTCCACCTCGCCAGCTCTCTGTCAGCCCGATCTCTCTCCTCCTGTTTCTGCCCCTCAATCCTCCCCCTCGCCTCCTGCTCCAGCCTCATCTGCTCTCTGACAGCATACCTATCCTCTTCTCTCTTCTTTGCCGCCCTTGCCTCTGCCCGTCCCACCGCAGCCTTTCCCACCACCTCCACCGCCTCTGCTCTCTTCTCAGCTAATGTCTGTTTGTCTTGGTCCACATCACTAGCTGCCAGAGTCCCCCAGAGTCCTGTCTCCTTCTTGAGCAGTCGGAACTCCACGGCTCCGTCACCCACCTTGACCGTACACTGCTCCTCGACCACCTCGGCCGCCAGGTACACCTCGAACAGATACGGCGGGTAGTGGACCTTGATGTATCGCTCCGTCGTCAAGATGTCGGCCTTGCTGGGGCTGACTCCTTTCAGCGGTAGGACAAGAACCACTTCTGCCTCTGTTTCCCGCCATGTATAGTCTCTCACCGTTATCGGCATCAGCGTTTTCCCCTGCTTTACCGCCAAACTTCGGGGTACCAAACGGTTTGCGGAGGGAGGGCGAAACAAGGTGCGCGTTATTTGGAATATGACACACGTGTCGGGGTCAAGGTTCATAATGAGATTTTTGGGTTCCCTATTTCTAAGGAGGCTCTTCAGGACTCGAGAGGTGTGTAGAGCGTTGGGAGCGCAACAGAGGGTGTGTCAGCTTCCGAGGCAACACCGTTCACTATCAGTATACTCCTCGTATACGGAGACATGCCCGTTTCGACCACGCCCACCTCTATCTAGAGCATTGCATGGTATGTTTACCAAATCCTCTATCAGTTGAAATTATCCAGTTGACCTGGCTCCTTCCCTTCAGCCTTTCAGAATGAGCTGACATCACTGGTTGAGGGGTATTTATTGGAGGGTTCAGAGGTCAACGATGAGGTAAGAGGTCGTCAGATGCAGCTGCTATCCATGATGCTGGCAGACATGTCGGAGGCGACTGATGTCCTGGTGAGGAAACTGAACTGTGAGACAAAATGTGAGTTGTGTGTAAATTGTTTGTTGAGGCCTGTGTATACATACAATGTCACATAATTCTGTGGGGTGAAGATGTAAAAATTGACCACTGCGCTCTCTCCCATCTCCAGTGACTCCCAAGGAACTGTATCGTCTGGCAGTCTCAGTGTTTCGAGCTAGAGAGAGTGGTATGTGAACCACTCCTTCCCCACCCCGTTGAAATACACCTCTCTCTCTCTCTCTCATTAGTTGGAGGTGATGTACTGCCGATTGCAGCAGCTCTGTTCCAGCAGGCAGGCCAGGAAGGAGAGACAAATTCCCTCTATACCTTTGCCCAGCTACTCAGAACTGGTACTCTGATACTATTCCATACTCCATATATACTATTCCCTAACTATACAGGTCAGGGTGTGGAGACAGATCTGGTGCGAGCTGCAGACCTTCTCTCGCAGCTGGCAATGAAGGGACACCCGTATGCTCAGTTTGCTCTGGGTGGCATGTACTATGCTGGCAGTGGGCTGGAGCAGAATTTCACACGAGCCTACAGCCTCTACAAAGTACTTCGCATCACCAGACTGTATACTGTCTAGTTTCTCTGTCCAAGAAAACCGCTGCTGATGGGTCTACTGTATTTTCCAGGTAGCATCGCAGAACTATGTTGCAGAGGCCTTCAACGTATTAGGTAAGAGGTAGATCTATCATCTTTGATGTGTCAGTGAAAAATGGAGCCCCCTCGTGGTTCAGGGAGCATGTACCAGCATGGCCAGGGAGTGCCTGAGGACCTGGAGAAGGCTGTGGAACACTACAGATCTGGAGCTGATCTGGGTACATTGAAAAATGTCCTCTTTTTCTCGGAAACCCTTGTTTCTCTTTCTGCTCAGGTGATCCTCTGGCCCACATGTCCCTGGCCAGCAGCTACACTCACGGTCGCGGAGTGACGCAGTCCTATGAGAGAGCCTTTCACCACCATCTCCAGGCCAGCGAATCAGGTCTGAGGCATCGTTCAGCTCACACCACAGCTGTACTCGTGTTGCACCCTCTTCTTCCAGGGCTTCCTGTTGCTCTGTATAACGTTGGGGGACACTATTTCGCAGGGAAAGGGGTGGAGTTAAGTTTCAAAAAGGCAGTTGAGTACTATCAGCAGGCAGCAGACATGGGCTTCGCTCCTGCTCAGGTTCCAACTCTGTTTATATGTCAACACATTTCGCCAGAGAAAAACGTTTTTCGAAGGCTTCTAAACAAGACGGCTTTCTCTGTGAAACTGTGGGTGTAGAATGGGACAAGCACTCAGTGCAAAGTTTTTTCTGTAAACCTGGCTACAGAATCACTGTTTTCTTCCTGTTTTAATGGCATCTTTTGTGTTGTAGGTTAACCTGGGGAACATGTACTACAGTGGTCTGGGGGTTTTGAAGAGCAGGCAGCGAGCCAAGGAACTGTATCAGGCAGCTGCCGATTCTGACAACAACGCCAGACTCTTATTGGAGGAGCTGGAGATGGAGGAGAAGGGGGGAGATGGGACCAGCAAATCTTAGCCAGTTTTCATAATTTCTGTATTTTCATGTTGAGATTTGTCAGGAAATAGATGTTGTGGTTCACAATTGCTACACTCAACACACAATTTAGATTTGGCAGGTATGAGCTGCCTACACACGTCCCCATGCCAACATTCCTCCCTCCAGTTTCTCCTTTTTTGGGCATCTCCCAGCATAACCTGACCTCTACTAATCAAGTTCACCTATATAGATCAGCTAGGGACAGAGTTGTATACCCACTGCATTAGGGTTGCATTTCAGCTACTGAATGAAAATTTGGAACAGTTCACACAAACACTACAACCGGTATGAACAATTGAAATCTAAAAACCGCTAAAAAGACTTGAAAAAGAAGTGCATTATAATTATTCGTGGTGATTTTTTAACAGCTCACAAGACCTACAGATAACTGACTAGAGGAGGCAAAGTTAGGAGATCAGGCGACGTTGATTGTGAAGGGACTGCCATTGATTTCACTGCTTGGATCGTCCACGTCCTCTCCCCACAGCAGGTGCAGTTTGTACTGCCCCGGGTCGTTTGGCAAGAATGAGACGAGAATCGTTCCGTCTTGGTTGTTGGACAGCTCCAGTGCCCCCCTCGTGGGTCCCTCGAGTTTAGCACGGAGGGGGCCGGGCCCGGATCCATCCTGAGGGATCACATTGATCGTTCCCAACTGCTTCCTTTTCATCTTACCATCCGTGATGGGCTCGCCCGTGGCAAACACTAGTTTTGCGTTGCGAGAGGCAGTTCCACTCACACTGGCCTTGAACGGACTGCCTCCAATGTGACGATCGGCCCAGTACACCTCGATGCTGTACTCCCCCGGTGCCTGAGGGTGGTACTTCACGCTCATCGTGTTGTCGCCGTTGTTGACAATTTCGATTGGTTTTGGTGGGTGTGGTCCCAAGACAGATATGGAGAGGGTACCAGGTCCTGCCTCGTCGGGGACGTTCACCGTGAACTGTGCAGGCTGTCCGACCACGCCCCCCGATACCCCCGGACCGGTGGCAGTACAGAGGAGAGGGTTGATCGCCCGGCCTTCTCCGGTGATGGTGAACGAGTGGGGACTCATGGGGAGCTCCTGGTCCCCCCATTTGAGGGTCAGCTGGTACTCCCCTGGGTCCTGGCAGGTATAGCTGATCCCCACTCCCTCCGTACTTGAGTCATCTGCCACAATTGCCGGCTTCGACGGCCCCACGATTCTTACCCCCAGAGGACCCGGGCCCGAACCTGCCTCTCCTTCCACAAAGAACTTGAGTGTTTCTCCTACCCTCCCTCCACTGAGCCCTGCCCCTGTCACTTTCACCTTGGTTGCATCGTTGATGGCTTCGCCAGTTACGTTCACCTTGAAGGGGCTCCCGCGGACGTGAGAGTCTCCCCAGAGTATTCGCAGTGTGTACTCTCCCGGAGCAGAGGGGTTGTACACCACGTCAACGCACTTTTCTGCAGAATTCTCCGTCATCTCGATGGGCTCTGCTCTGGAGGGGCCCAGGACGTGAATGCGGACTCGTGCGTAGCCGGCGTCGTCTTTCGTAAGGATCTGAAAGCGAGCGGGCTCCGTCGTAGTAGCGGACTTTAGTCCAGGACCGCTCACCCAGCACTTGTCCGTGTAGGCCGCGAACTTGACGTTGGCTTTGAACGGGCTGCCGGGGATGTGCTCGTCTCGGACCTTGACGCCCACGACGTGTTCGCCGGCGGCCGTGGGCTGGTAGGAGCAGGAGAACTGGCCGTTCCCGTGCGAGGTGATGTCGATGGGTTTGGACCCCGTGGGACCCAAGACGCTGACGTCGAGCTCGTCTTCGTCGACGTCGGGCGGACACGAGACTTGGAAGTCGCCAAAACAGTTCACCTCGAACGTCTCCAGGCCGGGGCCGAATGCTACCAGAGCCACTGGCTGCTGTTGGATGATCGGCTTGGAAGGAGCAGGTAGTTTGGCGGGGGTAGCGATAGAGGCACTCGCTACCGAGGTGGTGCTAGCGGGAGGTGGAGGAGGGTGAGCGGGAACAGCGCTCGGCTTTGCAGCTGGAGTCACGGCGTCCTTCCCCTTCACCTGCATGCTGATGGTGCTAACATGGACGTTTCTCTTCGGCTTGGGAGCAACGGGCGGCGGGGCCTTCTTCTTCCCCGCGAAGCTGATGACCGAATCGAAGATGTCGTCGATTTCTTTCTGGGCGTCCCGTGCATCTTTGGTCTTGAGGTTGATGCTGGCACTGGCGGAGCCACCGAACGAGGAGGGAGGAGGTGGAGGGGGAGGCGGTGGAGGGGCACCGCCGACTGACACGGACGCGCTGGCAGAGCCTCCGCCGATATCGATATCCGCGCTGATGCCGAGCTCGGCAAGGAGCTTGTCCGTCTCTGCGTCTATACTCATAATTACAGAGTGAGTAGCAGCAGCTGCTGAAACCGTACAGAAGTGGAGTGATCTCGGACCACGAGTGAATACGAGAGATCAAGGAGAGAGAGAGCGAACTGGTCTAGCGACGCTCCCTTCCGCAGTTAGATACGCACACGCAGCGCGCACCGGAAGCCGCAAAAGCTGTATGCGCACACCGACGAAATGACAACACGAGGTATTGAGAGGCAGAGTAGTACAATGAGGCACTGATTGGTGACACAAAACTGAAGGAGGACAACAGATGACCGTGTGGGGTACTAGGTGGGGGGCCCAGGTACATGCAGCAGAGGGGAGAGAGAGTCTAATAGTTCTGTGTGTCCGGGACGACCAGCCACACTGAACACAAACTGCAGACAGCCGAACCGGAGACGACTCCCATGGTAGAGTGTCGCAGTCCCTTCCCACCCCTTCCTGTTGGTTCCCACCAGACACGAGGGGCTGTGGCGACAGAGACAAGGATTGGCTGGGGGATCAGGACAGAGAAGGGAGAGGGATGCACGCGGAGTTGTCTTCTCTGGAACACCCTCAGTCTTGACGGGGGTTTTGCTGCCAGTTGCGACACCAGCATTTAGTTTCTTGGCCCGCGAGAGCACCAGTGGGATGCTGACCACGGAACTGTTGTAGGTGGTTCTTTTGGACCCCTCCCCTCCTCCCTCCTCTTTCCCCAGATGTCGCGAGAGGTTCAGGGCACCCTCAAGAGCTCTCTTAGCCTGGGCCTGGTCTCTGAGGGTCCTCCGTGCAATCTCTATCTTTTCCCTGGCCTCGTCTGCCGTGAGAGAGGTATCGGGAGGCGATGACTGGTTGGCGTCGACGGAGGCCTTATCAGAGAAGTCACAGGAGTAGAGGACTCCGTCCACCACGGAGCCGTGGTCACTGTAGTTGAGTAACTCATACTCTCCTGTCTCCTGTGAGGGCAAGACAGACAGAGAGAAAATGTGAATCACACACATTGCAAGCAACAAAGAGATTGCATATGGGGGAACTTTGTTGCTGCAATCCTATTTCTGACTTCTCTCCACTCAATCCTAATCATTGGGTTTTTACAATGCATCCTAAATGTGAAGATGGATGGAAAGTGAGTAAGCATGCCTTGTTGTAGAAGATGCAGGCGTGTCGAGGTGAGAGGTAGTTGCAATGTCCGTAGTGAGATAGAGGCAGATCAACTCCAGACCCTATACAAACAGCACCACAATGAGTAGAACAGAGGCTGTGTGTTCAGAAGCTCACCTGTTCCGATGAGAGTGACATGTTTGTGAACTGCAAATGCTGTACCAACTCCAGAGATAGGGCACAGGACACTCTGAGCTGTTCTTAGGTCCTCTGCAGATTGAGAGAGAGGGAGAGAGAGAGAGAGAGAAAAGAGAGAGAGGAAGAGAGAGAGAGAGGGAGAGGAAGAAGAGAGAGAGCAAGGGAGGGTCAAATAAGGATAAGTACAAGCAACAGCTAACAAGCCAAGTCACGGTCTCTGCCAACAGTCAAAAGAGGAATTGGCAGTGAGAGTGTGTGTGTGTCAGAGTGGCCATGTTTGACCAGAGGTCCCCGTCCCCAGCCAACTACACCATCTACTGTCACTATCTAGTGTCAGTCTGTCTCAGTTCTCTCTCTTCCTCCCTAAACAGGTAGTTACCTGGGGTGGGTGTCGGCTTGGCCAACTGGGGGAACAAAACCGAGTGTATTCCATTGATCCCCTTGCCAACAGAGTGATTGGGTTCGTGTGGGGGAGCCCCTGTAGTTTTCTCATCACCGTGGCAATGTCCAAACAGCTGGTGGAGTCTCTGAGAGGCTAACAGCTGGACGAGTCGACGATCCAGTAGCGATGTGTCGGGGACTGCAGGGGTAACGAGGATTCCTAACATACCCACAGTCACTGCAGAGGATCTTACCACACAGTGGGATGTCCTTTATCTCTTCCTTCATCTGCACTTCCCCTCCATCTTCCTCCCTCTCCCCCTCCCCAATCTCACCATTGTCACCATTCTCCCCACTCTCCACTTCCATCATCTCTCCCTCATCCTCTCTGTCCTCTTCTATCCTCCCTCCTTCAGCCCACCTTTCCCCCTCGTGTACTGAATCTCTGTCCTCATCCCCAAATCCATTAACTGCCCCTTTCATTACCATCTCGTCTTTACTGCTGCTGACATTCAGATACCTTCTCCTGCGATTGTCTGGTTTGCAGAGATCGCGAAGTTTCGTGACTCCATTTCGTCTCGACAGTTCTAACAGCTGAGTTGCCGCGAGCAAAACTGCCTCATTGTTGTGGAGACTTTGGTTGGCATGGTGACTGTGACGAGGGAAAGGGGGCGTGTCCACACGGTGTCTGTTCATCTGACGAACTATAGCGTCCCTCGTCCACTGTGTTGGGTGATTGAGGAAATCATGCATTAGTAGGTATAAAAGGGTTCACCAACCTTGTCCACATGTTGTGAGGGAGGGGAGAGGGAGGAAGACGAAGATGATGAGATGGCTGCGAACTCTCTCCGCCTCTTCTCCTCTTCACCTCTCCACCACTGGCACACCTCCGCTGCACTCACCAGGCTCTCTGTGAGGGGCGGAGTCTCGCAGGCCTCAGGAAAAGGGTCAGAGTACAGAGCCTTGACTGCAGGAGGGACCTGTATGTGGAGAATGATTGGTATTTCCTGTCGGTACCAATTGCAGTGATGTCATTTCCTGTTCTCAGGAAGTGTGCCTGACCTGTGCTACTCTTCTATTTAGATGCCTGGTGACTCTCTTATAGTGGGGGATCCTGAAAGAGAGGAGAGAGAAATAGTACACCAGTCGGTTTTGAATCTCGAATCTCATACCTGGAGATTTTCGAGAGGAAGTCTAGTTTGACCTTTGTACTGTGAACCTCCTCTCGACCTTTCTCCAGAGCCCTCAGTCGTCGTGACAACCGTGGGTGTTCAAAATCAGGCTGGAAGAGAGAGAGAGATACAAGAGGCAACGATAAAAAGTCTGAGAATACAGTGGGGTTACTGACAATGCTGTGATGAGGGTGGAGAGGGCACATCCAGGCAGTCGCAGGGGGTGTGGTCAACGGAGGATCCACACAAGAGAGGTGAAAGTGCAGAGGGCAAAAGTCACACTGTGTCACCTGAGCGGAGACCACTCTCCTGTGGAGTTAGGAATGCTCATCAAATTGAGATTTTTTACACTGAGCCAGCTCTCCAGCTATAGTCAAGGCATTCAAGATGGTGTTGCCCTTTGCTCCCCTCACTTGCTTTCTTAGAGCATGAAACATGTATTTCACATTAGCTTGACTAATGCTCACTACTCCTTAGCTTTATTCCAGATGATTTGTCCCACACAATTACAGGACAAATCTATCTTATTCCAACTGAATGATATTTGAAAGTTCCTTGTTATCAGAGCAAATATCACCACTCACTTGTTGCAGGCAAAGCAGAGTTTTTGGCTGGGATATTTCTCGTCAGCCTTAGCCCCGCGAGGAGCAGGGAACTTCCGTTTGCTCAGCCCAGGCAGCAGCTCCGTGGACTTCAGCTCCTCAGGGATCCTGAATATGAGAGGGTTGGCCGAGGTGGCCTGCTCTAGGAGAGGTCTGAAGAGAGGTGGGGTGGAGTGGGGTGGAGGGACACTGGAACAGCTGCGACACAGCCACTCCCCACTGGGGAGGTCCTTGGGATCAACAGGAGGGTCACTGAATGAGGGGAGATGATAAGGTTAATAATTGAGGGGCGAGAGTGGGAGGGGTGCTGACCAGCAGTAGAAATGGAATGAGGCGGGGCAGTTGTCGCAACACAGGAGGCTCCCTCCATCTCCACAGGCGTTGCAGAACGGGTTGTTCTCTATCCCAGTGTGTTTGGGTTGAGAGGGGGGCGGGGCTGCGAGAGACCGTGCCTTCTTTCCCTTCTGTTTCCCGGTCATGGCGGTCTGGGGCGGAGCCACCAGCGCATAGATTTTCTGCACAACAGAGTCTTAGATGGAGTAGTTTGGCCTATTATACGCACGCGCAAGAGCTGCGCGTGCGCAAGATTAGGGTCATGCACGAGTTCGTAACGGTGAGAGTCCGCGCGAGTTTTTTAGGCAAGGGACATAAAAATACGTGCGCTAGTGCGCAATTGCGCTGCCGGCCAACTACAAACGGTATGAATATCGACCGTACACCGACCGACTGACGACCAAAAACGCGGCGGCTCGCAAACATGCAGGGGCCAGTTTTAGGCGAGGCATCCCGGCGTTGGAGAACTACACAACACACTGTCCGTCTGGGAATAGACATGGAGGGTACTGCACGGTCCGCACCGAAAAACGCAGTCCGCTCCGTCTGTACACCGCCGCACATCGCGCACACCTTTTTGACGGCTCACCTCGAGCAGTCCCTCTTCCTGTTGCTCCGCCATGTGTTACTGCTCTCTCTCCACTAGTCGAGTCAAGAGGCGATGTCGCTTGCAGATGTCGCAGCGCTCAACTGCTCCCTAGGCTAGTATTGAAGGTTGGGGCGCCGCGCGGGGCAGACGGGAAACTGAGAAGGCTCTTGGCGGCGACGGTTGTCGGGTATTCCAGAAATTGGTGAAAACTCTGGTATGAAGCGTTGGACGTTTCCCTCTCGATCTACGACATGGCGAGACGTGGAGAGGGCCTACGTGACAGTTTTGGAGAAGCGGTCGATTTCCTGCGAGCTGTGTCCGGCGCCCGGTTCACTGAGTTGAGAGGCTCTGGTGGATTCAAACGTCGTCTCTCACTTTAAAATGTCTTTTTAGCCACCGACACGATCTTTTCAAGGCCGAGAATGGTCCGAGGCGGCGGGTGGGTTCCTACGCCATTGATAGCCGGTGTCGCTTCACCTTAGCGGCCATCTTGATTCGAAAATGTGCGGTATGACGTTGAGTCCCAATATATTTTTTGGGATCCTGCGATATTTTTTCTCGACTCGCAAAGACCTGCGAGGGCCGTGCACATTGCGCGCGCGTTCCAAAGCACTCAGTACAAAACTAGCGCAGCTCGCTCGCTCAGCGTTCTGGAGGTTGAGGCGGGGAAGATGAGCCAGAAGTCAGCGACAACAGCGGTGGACGGCCACACAGCCAAGAGCTCAAAGACGAAGGGTCACGGACGACAACAGGCGAAGAGCGCCGGGCCCCTCTCCGAGGAGGAACTGAGGAGACAGCAGTACATTACGCCTGAGGATGTTCTGCGGCTGGAGAAAGCCACTAAGGGTAAAGCAAGCCGGCCGTGGGCGTGCAGGGACCACCTCTGAGAGGGGGCGGGGCCGCACGTAACTGCTATATATACACTCCTCCACTTATCTGCAGATTACCTCTGCAGTCCCGCTGCCAACGTTTACGGCATCGACTTCATGAGGTTCAAGATCAGAGATGTGGAGAGCGGTGCCACTCTGTTTGAGGTGACCAAATCTGACGATGAGGAGGGCGAGGACACGCCCAGCGAGCCCCCTCGTTATGTGAAATATCATTTCCCGCCTCAGTTCCTCAAACTAAAGAGGGTCGGAGCAACGTAAGACGGCAGAATTAGCGGGGGGAGAGAGAGAGAGAGGGAGAGGAGAGAGAAAGAGAGAGATGGTAGTGTGTCTTTGGAATCCCTCTCTAACAGTGTGCCGAAATGCTTAGCAGACATGTTGCTTCCATTCATCAAAACATCCCGGTCGTGTTCCCACCTCATACCCTGACATACCGCTGATTTCCTGAACTAGTGGTTTCTCTGTTTTGCTCTGTACTCCACCATTAGTGGCTGTTGACCAACCTTTCACCCTCTTCATAATCAGGACACCACTATAATTATAGCACAGGAGACAGTTGTTAGCTATTTGTCCTTTTCCAGGGGTTGAATTGCATGCAATAAACTGTTGTCGGGGAAATGTATCAGAGAGGTGTCCTCATTTCAGGGGGTTTGCACGGTACAATAAGGTATGGGCAAACACCCCATATACAATACTGTAGTTATGTACCATTAGAGCAATCCTTTTTCTGTTTGTGTGTCTGGCTATATATAACAGGGTGGAGTTCACGGTGGGAGGGTCAGAGGTCCGTCAGCTGAGGATGGTGGAAAGACACTACTTCAAGGAGAAACTACTCAAATCATTCGACTTTGACTTTGGCTTCTGCATGCCTTACTCACGTAACAGCTGTGAGCATATCTACGAGATGCCTGAACTGACACCCGAGGAAGGTCAGCAGAAGCTATACTCCACCATCCGGCCTTTCACTCCTTTAGTCTGTCTTATAATAATAAGGAAGAAGCTCTCCTTTTTTAATCCTCTGCCCCGTTAATAAGTGTTTTGAGGTGAATGTTGGCAATTGATAGTCAGCCCATTTTCATTGCTCCCTGGCTACAATCCTGTACTACAAATTATCTCCAATAACTAATGGTTCGTACAGAGAAAGAGCTGATTGATAATCCGTACCAGACAAAATCTGATAGTTTCTACTTCGTGGAGGAGAGGCTGGTGATGCACAACAAGGCTGACTATGCCTACACCACTGCACCAGTCCCTCCCTCATAACCCACCACCTCCACCATCAGCAGAGACGAGACTATTACAATACAATGGCACATACAATTCAGCAGGTCCTCTTCATAGCTACATAACACCACAATAGGAGTTTGTTGTATCTTACAATGTTTTTTCTTGCAGTGTATTTCAGTTTCAAACATGACCCACCAGTTGTATATAGGGTGTGATGATGCGTAAAACAGTTATAGCGTAGGACAAAAAAAGCAACAAAAAAACCAGTATAAATGGAAGAGGTATAAGAACTAGACAGGACAAGAGGAACAGTCATGGACCACCGTTGACATGTCTCCAGATGGTCTCAACCACTGATCTCGTTGCTACTGACTCTGTCAGCCATCATATCTGAAGAGGAATAGGCCGTGTATATATGTACACACAATCAGGAAACCTTCCTGTTTTAGGATTGCAATTCACAAAATGTTTTCTCTGCTAAATAATTCTTGACCGCCACTACATAGATCGCTAAAAATTTCCTCCGCTAAAGTTTGGACTCTTACCAGACACAGAGACTTGGAAGTGGTGAGGTTTAGCTCCAAGAACTACAGTCACATTTTGAGTGGTTGTAGCGTAAGACCAATCTTCAAACAGCCAGCCATACAACCTAACAGTAGAAAGAGAATAATGTAAACCTCAGTGACATCGCGAGGAAGAGCAAAGGCAAAACTACACCTCATGTGCATAGGGTATGTACTGTAGCTTACTGTGCGGCTTCGTCCCTGGCCAGCTCAGCAGTGGGTCTCATCGTGCTGTAGAAGCCACTCTGGAACAGAAAAGGAAACAAACAGTATCAGATTCAGCAAAAGCAGGGAAATCCATCACTCATTATGATAGAGCAAAACTTCTGCGGAACCTTGGAACATTCTATCCCTGGCAGAACCAGTAGAGGTGTTCTTTATTGTACTTCAGTTGTATACCAGTTCCATGATCCAGTCTAGTTTGACAGAGAGGGAGTCCTGCTCCATGTCTTCCTGGCCAATGGCAGGCAGCGGCATTTGCTCCAAACACCACCCCTCGTCCTGCCAGCAGTGGGTGTTGGACTCTCCCGATAGCTTCCCATACTCCTCCAGTACTGTTAGAGTTCCCAGACCTGTGGAGGGAAGGGGGAGAGACAGCGAGACAGCGAGAGAGAGAGAGAGAGAGGAAGGTAGGTGAGTGAGAGTAAAAGTAAGTGTGCCTGTCTCCCCCGACAAGCAGAGAAGAGAGAGCAGGCTCACATGCAGCAAATATTCGGCTCCATTTGTCCAGAACTAGAGGCAGACATTTGTGAATAGAGCAGTATTTCTCTGAGTTGAGTCTCTGCTGGATGCCATGGAGCATGTCCTGCAGTCTGGAGAGAGAGATAGGGGGGGGGGAGTAAGTCTGCTGAAGACAAAACTTTACAACACATGATCCGAGAGTTTGACGAAATTATGCAAGTTTGTACCTGGAGGTAAGGTCTGAGAGAAAGCTACTGAAGAGAGTGCTGGACACGGGAGCAGTGGGAACTGATGTGTTGCTGTGTTGCGATGTGACGTCAATTTCTGTGGTGGTCTCTTGTTTGGAGACCCTATCGAGACCAGTGGCTCCACCAGTAGCGATAGGTCCCGCAATTAAAGTTTCAGTCTCGGCAGCAGGGGCCAACGGATCGTTCTCCTCCTTGTAGATCTTTACCAGGAACTTGTCGTAGATGGACGTTGAGAGAAGTGGGCTGCTGCAGACCGTGGTGTCGTTGAGTCTTGTCGAGCGAATGGACAGGTCTGATGAGGGGGCAGTTGGTAGGGGAGGATTGGCCACCATTGCTGTCTCGGGGGTCACGACCTCTGGCAAAACGACCGGGGGTCCACTCACTTTGAGTCTGTGGATGGCCGCAGCTAGTCGTGCCGTTTGACTGGAGATGTGGTTGAACAGCGGTGTCACTACCTGTGGTGGTACTGCACACCGCTTTGGTTGAAAAGCAGAACTTGCCGGAAGGGTAGGTAGGGGAACAGGTGTCTTATGCTGAGGGACAGGGGTTTCTTGGAGTGTAGAAGTTATATTTCCCTGGCTGTCTGTCTGCAACTGTTGAGGAGTGGGTGGTGGACGTGGTTCTGGAGGAGAGATATCTTCCCGTGTGCTGTCGAGTGTTTCATCTTCAGAGTGGACAAGGTTGAAACTCTCTCCGGGAGATTGGAGCCAGCCGGTACAGGGGTGTGTGGGGGGCAGTGCGAGAGGAGAGGGAGCAGATGGAAGAGGAGAAGATAGGAGAGAGCTGATGATACTAGTCGTTGTCTCTTCTTTTCCCTCAGTAGAGGGTAGCTGGGGTATAGACTGTGGATTGGAGGGTGTAGCAGTGGGAGTGCGGGGTTTACAGAGAGGAGGAACAGTGAAGGTGGTATTGAGAGGGTGGTGGGAGAGTGAGGAGGAGAGGGAGAGAGAACCGGTGCGGCGGGGGGTGGGGACAATGGGAGACGCAACAACCACCCTCTTCCCGGATGACTTGAGACTCAACTGTGTCTTTGGTGGTCTCTTGGGCACTTTGAACACTGGACTGGAGTTGGTTGTAGGAGCCACATTAGCCACTTCTTCTTCTGGCTCTGCCGCGACTTTCTGCTCCTTGTTTCCACATGCTGACCCATTGCTTTGACCCACAGAATACGCCTTCTCCAAGCTTCTCTTGTCAACAGCAGGGGAAGATTTGTCCAGATCACCAGGTTGCCTGCTGTTCTCATCATCTTCAACTGGTCTACTGGAGGGGAGAGAGGTGTCCTGTTTGACAGTACAGGGCTCTTGGTGGATGTGAAGAGAGGTGTCCTGGCATGTCTCCTGGCTGGTGGTGGTGGTCTCAGACTGACATGTGATGTCCATCATCTCCTGACTCTCTCCCCCACTACTAAGATGTGGGCTGGGAAGAGGAATTGTTGACTCAGCAGAGACCACATGATTGTCACATGACACACCACCCTCCCCCTCTTCCTGTTCCAACTGGTCACATGTGAGAGACATAGCCACAGTATTAGCAATAGTTCCAGGCTCAGGCTCAGGCTCAGCTCCAGTGTGTGGAGAAGGGACTAAGGCAGTTGTGTCTTGGCTTGTCGAGGGACGTGAGGAAAAGCAGGTCAACTCCATGGAATGAGTCCCTATGACTGCAGAGGGGAGGGCTGGTGTGTTTTCGCTGGTAGAGGGGTGGGAAGAAAAGCAGGTCAGGTCCATCGAGCGTGGCTCAGCCATGGTGCCTCCTTGACTGAGTGGTGACTCGACCACACGGAGCTCCTTACTGACCACTCCCCCATCTTCCTCCCCCATCTCCCTATCTACCAACTGGTCGCCTGCTGTGATGTTGATCCTCCGTCTATCAGCCAGTCTTCGGGGTGTGGTCTTCATCTCGGGTGAGGACATTGCTACAAAGTAAGAGTTGGTGTACGGTGACGAAAGTGCCAATTATTGCGGTGGCATTAGTGGGAGGAGAGACGGCAACGCTCGGGAACAGCTCAGCCAACCTCTGGTTATCGTCATCCGTGAGACGAGGGAGATTGGTGGGAGGTGAGGACTCTGAGTGGAGCTGGTTCGTATCAGGAGGAGCCCCGTTCATTGGAGCCTCGTTTAGCTCGAGGTCCAGCATTACGTCATCCTCCAGTGCAGGAGGGTGTGGTTCAGGCAGGTCCTCCAATAGAGTGATCTCCTCGTGAGGAGCAGTGGCTGGGGGAGGACCTCTAGACTGCCCCCGATCTCTGTCTTCAAATATCTGTTGAGGAGAGAGGAATAGGGAGGGGAACAGAGCGAGTCCTTTGAATAACAGGATATAGGGTCTTTAATTTGGGGGTTCCTTTACAGAGAGGCGCCTTATAAATTTCATGTAGCCTGGAGGTGTTGCACTGAGAAATACGGTGCTCTCCAGCGCACCGCACGCACACATGGCGATACTTGCAGGCCGGGAAACGGCAGTCACCCTGAGGAAGTTAGACTCACCACAAAGTCATCGTCGGGGAAAGCAAAGGATTTCTCAAACTTAGGGAATGATTGAGAGTCGGGCAATCGGACTGGCAGCAGAGATCCTTCTCCTCTTCTTCCTCACTGGGGTGGACATTTGAGGCACCTCGTCCTCCACACTCGGGAGTGACACCTGTACGTACAGAGAGGGAGAGATCATCAACAACGTATCGTTATTGAGAGACAATTGGGGGGTTTGGTTGGCGAGTTGTTGAAGGTCTATGCACCTGTTTTTACATCACATGTGTCAACAACCATTAACACTTGCGTTGAAAATAGAATCTCGCAAGACCATAATACATAATGTAGACCTGGCCAGTGGCAGTGTTGTAATATTCTATATACCTGTTTGACAGCTCCCTCATCCTCAGGCCTTGACCGAGTAGCCGGACCAGTCTCTGCAGCATAGGGAATACAGTACTTTACCCCACCACCAGAGTGTATGGAGCTCACCTCCAGAGGTAGGATCAGCAAAGTTGTGCTTGGTGAACTCCCTGCAAATGTAGACCAATGCAGCAATTCTTTCTACACTTGTAAGAGGCCTAGCTTACTTCACTTCAATTCTTGGACAAAAGCTGACCCGGCGGTCTTTTGCTGTCCGACTACAGAGAGGGAAAGAGTTACTCTAAACGGCACACACGCACACCAAGACAAAATCTGTTATACCTGTCGTCTCCACCAATGCCGCGAGAGAGGTTCTGTACGTCAGTGAACGGCCTCTGCGGCTTGAGGATCTGCAGAAATACAAGCAGAGACGCGCTAAACACAAACTGTAGCTTGCGCCACGTGGATATCTCACGGATGAGCGCCTCTTTCTTCCCAGCCTGCATGCGAGGGAGACAAAGACATGCGATACGGTCAAGTCAGCGGAGTGATGCGTACCTCGGCGGGAGACTATGTGTGTCCATGGGTTCAAAGCAATTCTCCTTGAGATGAAGACGGTTCATGACAACATTGGGATCGCTGCGCGTTTGTCTTCACACTTACTTGCCTGCAAAGCTCCAGGCACTCGACAAAATTTGAAAATTTGAACTTACGGTTTTCCCGCGCATTTACAATAGTAAACGGATCTCCGTAATCTATGTGAATACGACCCTCTCTATCTTTTCTCCTACTCGCCTGTCTCCCTGCGAGATCGCCTCACTGGATAAAGAGACCTAGTAGAGCCGGGAGGCCGGGAAGGGGCGAAATGATCACCCCCTTTATCTGCGCCGGCTGCGACAAGCCGATCATGGAGCGCTACCTCATGAAGGTGCTGGACAAGTCGTGGCACGTCCAGTGCGTCAAATGCTCCGAGTGCCATTGCGCGCTGAACGAGAAGTGTTTCTCGAGGGAGAGCAAGCTCTACTGCAGGAACGACTTCTTTAAGTGGGTTGAAAAGAAGCGGGATGAACCGCGCGCGCACACGTTTTACCTGTTGGTGGGCATCATTTAGAATAACCTCAAGTCCGAGGTGTCAGGTTCCTCGGTGCACGACAATGAACCTTCTCCTGAGCAGAGAGATAGCTTTACTTACTTAGTAATGTGGTGGTGTAAAACAGGTGTAACAACGTATAAGATTTGAGCATGCAAACCGGAACACAGAAGGTGTGACTAAACGTCTAAAGACAAAGGCACATTTTTTCTGTCTGTTGGTTGGTAGGTTGTATGGGACCAAGTGCTCGGGCTGCAAGACAGGACTATGTCCGGAGGACATGGTGCGGAAGGCGATGGACAAGGTGTACCATCTGTCCTGCTTTTCCTGCTCCCTGTGCAGGAAAGAGCTGCAGACTGGCGAGCAGCTGTTCCTCGTCCAGGTTAGAGCTGGCTCTACTTTCCCTCTCTCTCCCGTCTCTCACCCCCTACCTCTCTCCCTTCCCTCTATCTCCTCTCTATTTAAAACATTGAAATTCATTACAATTGATGCACTCTCTCTCTCTTTCTCTTTCCGTCCCTGACTTTGACCCCGCCCCACACACAGGGAGAGAAGTTTCTCTGTGAAAAGTGTTACCAGCTGTCGATTCAGAGTCTAGCAGCCACCAACACTGCTGGAGGTGGTGCAGCGACCTCCATGACCTTACCCACCGCCACAACAAACATGCCCAAGTCTGAAGCCCTCAAGTTTGGTGAGCTGAGTGGAGCCTCTATCCAGAGACACCCCTGAAATTAAGACACCTGTCTAATACGCACTGCCTTTTTTTCCTTGAGAAGGTTTTTGAGGTTGCATGGAAGTTATTGTCTATTTTGTGTCTGGGATAAGATAGGCTCCACTGTACAATAGAGACACAGACAGGTTTTTGCTATGGGAAGGGAGGGTTGTGTTGCTACATAATTTAGTTCCTATTTGTTGGCAATTTGCAGTGGTGAAGATCCTATTTACTGACTATCATGTTTTCCTTCCCAGCTACCTCCCCCATGTCGGTGGGGGCTGAGTCCCCACAGGCACACCTCCCAACCACGCCCTCCACACCCCACTCCCTCCCTACACCCACCGGAGTTTCGGGTGGAGATGGGAAGAGGTCAAAGGGCAGAACCACCATTAGCCCCCAGCAGCTTGAGGTTCTAGTAGAGGTCAGTAGCTACAGTTTTAGAAGAGTGTGTGAATGTTGTGTAATTGTGTGTCAGGCACCCTGAAAAACTGTGTAGTGTCATACCTAAACTTTTGTGAAGATACCAAAGGTGGTAGGTGTCCCAGTTTCAACATTAATTAACAGCACTGGTTGGTATGTGTGCAAATGAAATATCACGTGTGCATAATGAAGTTATTGAATCGGATCATTGTATGCCGTTCCGCTATCAGCAACTCCGTAGCCACATGTCCTGTCTGTCACGGGGTGAATCGCTATCGCGACTCGAGCTTGTCTGGAGAACTATCTGACTTTGCGGCCCCGCAGAGCGCGTGCGCTGCGTGCATGTGCCGCAAGATTAATTAGCGGTGTCTGTGAGACCACTCTGGGCGTGTACCGTCAGCTTCGGCAATCTGCAGAATGAGTCAGCACACCACACCCCACCCTCCTCCCCGTTCCCGCAACCAGGGTTGTCATAGTCCATCGTCCTCGGACGGACCCAGGCACTGCCAGAGCATCCACCAAGCGTGGAGTTGCGCGGTTTCGAGTCTAGAAGCGTGGTCGGTCTCACGAGTCATGAGATGGCGGCATCATTGTATATTAATACCAGCCAGCACAGCGGTGCGACAACCTTCCACAAAGCAATCTCTATCCACATAACGGACACTGCAGATTCCTCAGGTATATCGCCACAGTCCAGTTTGACAGTGGACTATTCTCTGTTACTGTAAACATGGTGAAAGTAAGGAGGGATGAACCGACGCCCCACCCGCTTATTCAGACGCCGCTTTAGACAAAAGTGTTAGCAAAGTCCCTGCCAGAGAGGTTGTGCACTCCAGGCGCTCCGACATATGTTGCCACAACTGTAGGGAGAACAAGGAGGGTAGGGCATGTGAGCATGCGACTCTACCGCCTCCCCAACATTACTAGGGAACTCGATATGAAGGGAATCAAAGGGGGCGCCGACGACAGAAGGGGTCACCAGTTGCTGAGCGGCGCGGAGGGTTCGGGGTTTCGGATTGCAGACACCGACATGTACTGGCCGGTTGTAGACGTGCGTACGATGTCCGCGGATCCGCGTCGGCACGGATACCAGCTGGCTTACAGGTCCCATACGGGTAGGGGATCGGTTATGTAAGCCGCGAATTTTATCTGCTCGGCGACTTTCGCCGTAATATGCGCGGGGGGAATGAAGAACGGAAGATGGAGAGCCGGTGTGAACACATCAGGGACGACGCGAACAAATCATCGAAGGGCATCATAGGGTGTGAGGTGGAGCGAACGGGGTAGCGCGACGGAAAGGAAGGCGGCCAGAGGTCGCGGGGCGCACCGTCCGTCCGCCCCCGCGGGCGGGGGATGGATTACCGATCCCGCGCGGGCGGGTTGCCCCGTGAAACGGGGCTGTCCCCCGGGGCTCGCATGTTGTCGAGTTCAGCGCGAGAATGGTGGGTTACGTCAACCGGACGGACTCGATCCAGGTCATCCCCGACCGGGTGACCAACGTGCGGGTCTCGACGAGGGGAGGAGGGTCACGCTCGATCCCCGGAAAAAGATCGGGGGGGGCTCACCCGTTGTGAGAGACGGGGAAATCGCGCTGCAAGCCCAGGTATAGGGTGCTACCAGGCGTGCAGAGAGGGTTCGGACAGATTTTCATCGCACGCCCAGGAAGATGAAACCGACGGGGGGGGGACCGGCCCAGATGACCGACCTGTTCTCCCGGCTGGCCGGTGTACTGCGGTTCGCGAAGTGTTCGAGGGCTCACTTGGGAACGGCTCTCGAAAGTAAGGTCGTGCTTCGCGCCGGGCCGGCAGTCGATAATTTACGTCCGGAGGTCACTCTCACCGCGCAGTGCTTCTGGCGCGCTACTTACAGGATGGGGTACGGGTGGTGAACAGGGGAGTGGGTGATCAAGACCGCAACTGCGCGACATTCTGATCGATCCGGCGGACAGGGGGGTCGGCCGTGGAAGGTGTTTCAGAGCTCGTCCGGGGTGCAGGCGCCACTACGCGGCGGGGGACGGTAGATTTCGT